GGTTCCGTTCCATCCACAGCTGTGTCATCTTCAGCAGGAGCGGATCTTGGTTTCTTCTTTGGGCATGAACACCAACTTTGGGAGATACTGCTTCTCCGGATCAGGTATAATCCTCCCTTTTACCTTTTGGTTCAGATCTGGTTCGATTATGGTTCAGATAAGATCCTTGAATATGGTATTCTAAATTTAGGGAATACGATTCCTAATTGGAGGAAGGTAGAAAAATTTTTGAAATTCGCCCACCCATTCCGCAACCTGTTTGGCGTCCATTAGATGGATCCTACCATTCCTTCATTGCATGAAAGAGCTCAAAATAACCAACATCTAATCAAAAGGATATGACGTGATGGTAGAGCCAATATAGAAATTGGGTATGTACTAAAAATGTTATAACATCTTAAACTATGGTACAAGAAGTATTCAAATATCAAGTAATGCACAAGGATTATGAAATAATGGAATGGTAAGAAGGAAATGCTTCAAAATTCAAGGGTAGAAGTGCTTTCAAACTTAACTCATACGAGAGTAATCATGTCCAAATAGTCTATGTCTAGTTCGCATCAGATGAGAGTGTGTATCATCTCTTCAAGGATCACCCCTTAAAACTCATTGAGTTCAAAAGCATGTACAATAGAATTGTGAATTATTGAACAAGGGATTTATTGTAAGAAAGGCTTTATCACAAGGGGTCTACCTCAGTCTTTTTTTCTCTTTTTTTTATTTCTTCTCTTCTTTCTCTTTTTTTTTTTTTGTTAACAAAAATGGTAGGCTATGAAGTTGATACTTCAATGGAGCGAGTGAAGATTATGATCTTTCATCGTCAGCCAAATAGGTCTATCCAGTACTGATTTGCCAATTTTTCAAAGATCAATGAGGTCTTGCTTATTAGACGAAACGCGGTCTAGTATGGAGGTTATAAATGATGAGTTAGAAGGCCCAAATAACAATTAATGGGAGGCATCAAATGCATGGATCACCTCTTGGGAAATTCGACTCAGGGTTTGCTCTCATCATCATTTTTTTCCCTTTTTTTTATTTTTTTATCAAGGCTTTTCTTCCTAGCCATATGGATGGAGATTGCTCTTCATATTCTTCATCAACATGAATCGTGCCTTCTTATTGATCAGGGAGGACTTTATTTTGGGACGAAATATAAATGGGTAGGGAAAATCAAAACTACATGTGGGTGTCATCATAAAAGCTCCCGTAATGATAAAATCATATTAACTGCCCTAGTTTCTTCTAATTGCTTCTTGATTTTTCGTTTGTCAAATCAACATTTGCACTGATCTTCCCTTATAACTGCCCCACTTTACTTGAGTATTTCATTCTCAATAAAGCTACCAAAAAGTTCTTTTTGGTAGGAAGGTGTTTATTGTGAAGAAAAGGTTGATAGGAAGGCTCAAAGGGCCAAATAGGGGATTTTACTACATATTATCAGGATTGAATGCACAAGAAAAACAAGCATCCAAGGATGGCCTCCCTTCATTTCATTATTGACTACACGTTGTATATTGAAGAAGCATATGTTAAGCGTAGTATATGTCGAGCAAAGCCCCTAGGGGATTTTCCTTCCTCTTTCTCTCTTTCTTTTGTTTTATTTTTTCTTTTCTCTCTTTTTTTTTCTTTTTTTTCTTTTCTCTGTTTTTTTTTTCTATTTCTCTTTTTTTTTTGTTTTTTTAGCTCTTTGATGATCCCTGAGATGCATTCTGTGGGTTTGGCTAGTTTGTCAAAAAAATGTCTAATGTATAAGCTCAATTGGTTAACTAGTGACTTTTGTGAACTTAAAGGGTCAATGAGGAAAGAGGAAAGACCGAGGATGGCCTCCAGTCCTTTCTTTAATTAATCGATAGAGCACTAGGTTAGGATGGTGCCTTAATTCTATGCCAGCTCAGGAAATATTCAAAGGGGATGTAGCATTCTTTGGCAGTTGTAATTCTGCCCCAGTTTGGACAAAAATGATGGCTTTATTATGGGTAGGGAGGTCAAAAGAAGTTCAACCATAGAGCTCTTGATCAATAACTAACTTTCTTCAGGCATGCTTTTGAGACTCTGAAAGGAAACAAACTCTACCTTCTTCTGTGGGTAACGACCCTAAATGGACTAGTCACCTCTCTTATAAGAATTTCAAGCAAGGGAGAGAGAAAATAGGAGAAATAATACTTTATTTATGAAAGTGGTCGAACCCATGACGAGGTGCTCTGCGTACCCCTTTGAAAGGGATCAGGCTGGGCATAGTTCAAAATGCCTTGGAATGGCAAAGAAGAGAGAATAGCAAACTAGATGCAATAACAAAAAGAAACTCTCGATGGTTGGAGATAGGGTAGAGAGTGTTGACCCCCTGTCTTAGAGATTACATTTGAATTCACAAAGTTGGTTTGACATTACAAATGATACTCAAAACTAACCAAAGAGGACATTCAAAATATGTTGATGAAAGGGAGGACTTAGTTCAAAGATGACTTCTGACACTTAGAAAATGCAATGAGACCTTGATCAATTAGCTTTTGAATTGCAATCTTGAGCTGATGGCAATTGTTAGTGTCATGCCCCGGGCTTCTATGATAGTCACAATAGGTATTCTCATCGTAATGCTTTGTTTTACGCACCAAGGGAGGTCTCTCTTCAGGCAACTCCAGATATCCATCATTCAACAAGGCATGTAACAATTGAGAGTATGAACAAGGAAGTGGGGACAACTCCTTTTCTGTTTGGAGAGTTTGTTGCATCCTTGGGGTGCGTTGTTGTTGACCTGAATGTGGATGCACTAGAGTAGGCACCCTGAAAGAAGGATTAGATGGAGTTGTGGCTGCAAAGCTAGCTGGGTGGCCAGGTATGAATTGTACTTCACTCCCTCCTTGATGCTTGGTTCCAAACTTCTTTGGCTTAGAGGTGGTTGCCCCTACTCCAACCAGAATGGATTAATCCGTCCATACCTAAGAGATTCTTCGATTCTGACAGCTCCTTT